GGGCACAAAACAGCCACAGGCCCTCGTGACTGGACGCCAGGGTTCAGAGGGGCAAGGCCGTTGCTGCAGGGAAGATGACCCTGTCGCCCCCATGCTTGCTGTGTAGAACAGGTGAGTGAAGTTTGCAGTGTGTCACAGTGCATTCTCTCGCTCGGCCTCCTTGAGGTGTTCAGGCTCATGTACCCATGCGGGCACATGTGTGAGAGATCGTTGTGCTGCATGAGAGGGTACAGAAAAGTCTTTCCCCAGCTTGTGCCAAATTCTAAGGCTAGTCCTGGCTTCTTGCTTCAGACAGCCCTCAGGAAGTGAGCTGGGGAGCTCCCTGGAGATCTCCTTGCACCTGGCCAGTGGTTAAAGCCGGCCAAGATAGGAAGGTGGAGCTCTCACTAACCAAGGAGCAGGCTTTCCCCAAGCCAGGGAGAAGAGGCAATGCTCATCCTCTATTTAAGAAGTGGGAAGCTGCATTCTCTCCCACTCCCCCACCTGGAAAATGCACAGAGGTGGCCTCAAGCCTGCACAGTCCAAGCTAGTCCCTAGCACCCCCTTCCCTGTGCCTCCCCTCAGAACTCCCTGCCCGGTCCCTGTCCTAGCTGAGGCTTGGTGCAGGCAGGCCAAATTCACAAATTCATCACCCTGCTTGGAAAACTATTTGGGCTCTGCTACCTGGTCTGTGCTGAGGGGTGACATGAGCACAGGTAGCTGCAGGAGGAGGGGGGAACCATAGGTGAGGAGAGACCTGGATGAGGCTTGCCCTGTACAGAGACTGGACCTGCTAAAGCATGGAGTAGGCAAGACCCTTTGAATGGGGTTGATGGTCCTTTGTAGGGCATTATCCCTGCAGGGATGCTGAGCCTGGCATGGACACCAGGAGGGGAGGCACTGTGGCTTGCCCCCTGCCCAATTCTCCAGTGGCTAGGAGCTGGGTTAGGCCCTGGGGCTGTCTCAAGCACCAATCTAAGAGCCAGGGATGCCCAGGATACAGATGCTCTCAGCCATACCCCTTCCCATCTGAGCCCTCCCCAACACAGCCTTCTGGGAGAGGCAATCTGGAAGGGATATTTGCTCATTGTTGCTGGGGAGGGAAATCCCCCCTAGCTTCTTTACAGTCACCTTGGAGCTAGTTTGCAAGATAAGATGCCCCTCCCTCTCCCACTGAATTGCCCCCTGCAGCCCTGCACCATTTCAGGGAGGTTCTCTGAGGATCAGGGGGATGCAGAAGCATGCTGCCCTCTGGCAGATTTCAGGGTGGCCTGGCACTTCTGGAGGTGGCTTGGCTCACAGCTTAGCCTCACAGATCTCTGGCTTGGCACATGTCTCTGAGCAGGCAGCAGCTGGGAGCTGCAACAGAGCAGACAGCAGGCTTTCCCCAAGGCTGTGGGGCCCCGCCTGCCTGTGCCCATATAAAGGGATAGGCGGAGCCCAGGGCCAGTCTCTGGAGGGGAATAAGTGTGAGCAGAGCAGACAGAGCAGGTGGAAGGCAGCCTGCTCAGCTGGCCCTGCTATCCCCAGCCCATTGCTTGCAACAGCCTCCAGCCCGGGACGTGTCCCCATGCAGCCCTTGATGCTGGGTTAGATGCTTTGTTTCCAGCCTGGACCTCGGAGTTGGATGTTCTCCATCACACCTCCTGGAGACCTGGTGCACACTGCCCCCAGCCGGGATGGACGCTCAGCCTGAGCCCCTGACCTCTGAACCTGGGTCCCACGCAGGCCCTCGGTGTCTCAGCCGTGGGTCTGGGTTCATTCAGTTTGGGCTGCTTACCTGGGGCTTTGGTGTGTCGGCTTGCTGCTTGTCCTCTGCTATCTGGAAAAGCAAGTCTCCCTGGTCCCTGCCTCCCTTCTCAGGCTTCCCCATCCCCAGAGGCGATTGTCTCCCTCAGATGAGGTGTCTGGCTCTCTTAAGAATCTCGCTGTCGCTTTCTGATCCCCTCCCATCGCATTCCAGGGCCATATCATAGCTGGGCCTCACCCTCCTCTCGCCCCCCCCTCGGAGAGGGACGGGCACAGAGTGGGACTGTGGACCGGAGGGAGAAGTTGGCAGCTGAACTACTGGCAGTAGTGCATGAAGCTGGGAGCCATGCGGTGCCATCTCGTCCGCAGCCTCTCAGGCGTCGCTCTCCTCCTTATCAGCCTGGTTCTCCTGTCTGTGAGGCATCATGGTGTTCGGGACAGAGCCCAGTACGAAGGGCTCAGCGAGAGGGCATCAGTGAGCCCAGCTAAAGCATCCCCAGAGCATAGAAGAGAAGCCAGCAGCAGCAGGCAGGGGCAGAAAGAGTCACAGGCCCCTTTGAATGGGAGCTCTGGTGCCTCGAGAGGTCTGGAGCTTGAAGAGGTTTTCATTGCTGTGAAGACAACCAAGAAGTTCCACCAGAGCAGGATGGAGCTGCTCCTGGACACTTGGATATCCCGGGCAAGAGAGCAGGTGAGTGTGCGGGCAGAAGGGTAGACTGGCAGGCTCATTGCAGCAACAGGCCTCTTTGGGGACAGCAAGGAGGGTGGATCTAATGTCTGAAGGGAGGAATAAAGGACCAGTGAGCTGAGCACTTCTTCAGCACATTGCCTTCACCATTGTGTATAGAAGCGAGGACACCCAGGCTGGGCAGAGGGCTTCAGTGACTCTGGGTGTGAACCCAAGTTCAAGGGGGCCTGAGAGGTTTGTTTGGACAGAGGAGTGGCATTTGACATAGAGCAGCTCTCCCTTACCTAGATGTGACTTTTCTCAGGGGTTTTACCCCATTTAAATCCTTTTTTTCTCAGGAATGCCATGCAGCATCCTAGTGGACACCTAGCCTCCCTTTCATGGCCAGGATCAAAGAAGATGTGTTGCAAAACAAAACGGTGAATCGGTTGGGGGAGTTTTTTGTCTTCAGATGCCTCCCCCATCTCACATGTGAAGCGAGTGTTTTGGGTTTCAGACTCGCAGGTTCCTCCAGCCCTGTGACATTTGTGCACATAATAAAAACCACACTTGAGTTAGACACGGTCTGCGGTGTGGTGTTACATATGGGGTGTGTGTAAGGCAGTCCTGGCAGTGTCTGAGGGCTGGCAGTGTCCAAAGAGGGTGTGGGGTGCTGGCCCGCTGCTTGCCTACCCCATGCTTGTCTTAGTGCAGTTCCCCCCCTCAGTTTCTTGAGCACTAAATTTACTCACATGCACTCTGACAATCCTCCCACCAGTCAGTTTGTGGTTTGCTTTCTTGATGCATGGCTGCTGCTGTGTCTTGGGCTTTGAGTATTGACTCGCTCTACCCTGAGAGTCTTTGCTTCCTCTTGGATGAGCCAGCTTGGTCACAGGTGACCTGTTGCTCATCAGTGATCTAGACCAGGGCAGGGATCCCCCTCTGGACATGGAAAAGTCCCCATGGGGCTGGTTGTAGACTGTGGGCACTGGAGCGCACTTTGACAGACTGGGTAGTGTGTAGATGCTGTGGTGGCAGTTTGACTCCTAAATGAGCCTACCCCATTGCCAATCTCATGGTCACGGTGAAGATGCTGCTCCCATCCCACCTCTTGGTTACCTATTTTCCCTATCAAGCTGCAAACGTAGTTGCAACCTAAGGCCTCGGTCTTAGTAGAAAAGAGTGGGTCTCGGCATAGGGGTCTGCCTACATACTTGGCCAAATGCAGCAATGACCCTAAGTGAGGAAGATGGTGGGGGAGATTGGAGGGGGGTGAGTAATAGAGACAGAGTACAGCATTCTGGGTAAAGGCGGTTTTTCCCTTCCTCAAGCTGAGCTGTAACTGTCTGGTGCTTTCCGCTGCCTAGTCCGTTGCGGTCGCTAGAGGAAACCTGTCCTATTTTGAACATGCTTCCTCTGTCTCTGTTGGTGTTTAAAATACCACATTTCCCCTTCTCAATGCACTTCTCCAAGGCCTGAGCTCTCTGGTTCCTACTTTTTAATGCTCCTTTGGGCATACCATAAGTCCCTGCATATGCGTACTGGGAAGGGGGTTGTGCTCTGGTGTGAGGTTACCGTTGTTATCTCTAGCTTTAGATTTTTGGAGCGGGCTTGTAAAGCCACCCACACATAACTAACACCTTGACCACACTCAGGGTTAGGAAGTGGAGCCATAAGATGGTTGCTTGAACCTCCTCAAATGTATCCTATCCTCGGTGTATATATACAGGAACCGCAACGCCGGAGAACTGCTCTTCTGGTGTGGTTCAGTACCCGCCAAGG